TACCACATGCTCTCACTTATATGATGAAAACACATGGACAGAAAGAGGAGAACAACAGAAACTGCTGCCTATCCACAAGATCTAATAAGGAAATAGAAGGAGGGAGAGGATCAGGAGAAGTAACTAATGGGTATTAGTCTTAATACCTGGGTGAAGAAATAAAAATCTATACAAGAAACTCCTAGGACACAAGTTTACCCATGTAACAAACCTGTACATGTACATTTGAACTTAAGCTAAAAGCTTAAAATAATATTGAATTAAAAAAAAAGATATTCAAATGAAGTCAAAGCTTTGGTTCTAATAAGGAAAGATACAGAAAGTGACCAAAGCCCTTTCTGTAGATTATCATCTAGTTTAAATATACCTAATTTAAGAAAATACTTTTATATGGATCATACTCGGACAAAATTGATCTAAACATCAGGACTGTATATTATGTATTGGAAGTCCAAAGTATACCACAGACCAAATTAAACAAATCTTATGTCTCCACGTATTTAGTGAGTCAGTTTTTTTCCTTTGAGATTAGAGAAGTAGCATTTAAATTTTTAGCTGATAAACAATGTAGATATCTTGTTAATGCCTTTTCTGGTATTAACAAAAATTAACATTTCTGGTATTGCCTGAAAATATCAGAAAAAAACATTACAAGATATATATGGAAATGATATCTCCTAACTTTCATTCTGATATAAATGGCAAGGGTGTAAACCTTCAACATTAATAAAAAAAAATTTTTTTTGATATGTCAGACACAAGAGACTGGGTACAACTTCGGGTCAGTAGGAGTAGTGGCTTATTTTGGAAATGCCTTTCCCACTGGCTCTATCATTTACCCTGCTGTTTCATTTACTGCTTCATCCCCAAAGCTGAGAACAGGGTCCAGCACATGGAGATACTCAGTAAATATCTGTTGATGAGTAAATAAATGACCAAATCCCCAGGACCAGCACAGTGTCTAGCACATAATAGTTTCTTGCTAAAATATTTTTCAAATATTAGTGTGGGTCCTGAAATGTTCTAAAAAAGGTATAATAATCTCCAATTTTGGCCATTTTATATTTTTCTGACAAACTTGTTTAATGCTCCTTTCTTTTCATCTTAGTAACTTTTACACATTTGCATTCTGTAGTTTCTTCAGTGTCTTAAATTAGGGCTTGGCTCCAATGATGCACATGCAACGCTGGTATCTAGAGTAGCTGCAAACAAATCCTAAAATTCTTCAAAAGCAATAGATGTATCCAGTTAGTTTTCCCATTTCAAATAGTCTACCAGAACAAAAACTGCATCCACGGGCTGTGCCTGAGTTTATGTAACATGCATATGATACCCACCATGTTTTTAGCAAGAGCAAATATTGAACTTCAAATAAATTACTATTTTAAACACTTTTTTTTTTAACCTTTAAGAATTAAAAGAGAAAGCCCCCATGATTTTTGTTTTGTTTTTGGTAACAGGCTCTTGCTTTGTCACCCAGGTTGGAGTGCAGTCATGCAATCATGGCTCACTGCAGCCTCAGCCTCCTAAGTTCAAGCAGTCCTCCAACATCAGCCTCCTGAGTAGCTGGGACTACAGGTGTGTGCCACCATGCCTGGCTAACTTTATTTTCTGTAGAGATAAAAGTCTCACTATGTTGCCCAGGCTGGTCTCAAACTCCTGGACTGAAGCCATTCTCCTGCCTTGTCCTCCCAAAATGCTGGGATTATAGGCATGAGCCACCACTCCCCGCCTAAAGTTTTTATATTGTAGTTCGGTATTTCATAAATTAATATGGCTCAACTAGAAAACACTTCTGATTTCTGAATTGACTTTATATTATTGACTCACGTAAAATACAACACTAATATTACTAAAATAATATCTGGAGAATAAATAATTCTTGAAGTATTAAAAATAATAGTATTCATAACACAACTTTTCAAAATTGGGAATGTAATGATTTTCAAAAACCTATTCATGATGATGATGATGATGATGATTTTTTGAGATATAGTCTTATTCTGTCATCCAGGCTGGAATGCAGTGGTGCCATCTCAGCCCACTGCAACCTCTGCCTCCCAGGTTCAAGTGATTATTCTGCCTCAGCCTGTAGAGTAGCTGGGACTACAGGTGCACACCACCACGACTAACTGATTTTTCTATTTTTAGTAGAGGTGAGGTTTCACCATGTTGGCCAGGCTGGTCTCAAAGTCCTGGTCTCAGTGATCCGCCCACCTCAGCCTCCCAAAGTGCTAAGATTACAGGTGTGAGCCACCATGTCTGGCCATGATTATTATTTTTAACATTTAACATCAAATGTAAATAAACTATATTCAACTTAAAATTAAGAAAATAATACTATCCAGGTGAAATTGTATTCTTTTAACACAATCTGACAGCATACATTAGCCAACAGTCAAAGGGCAATAAAAGTGACAAATTTCAGATAGTCTGATAGCTAAAGAACAATTATATATAATCTAATGAGAATAAACTAAATTTCAATTTAATGTTCAATGACTCATCATACACATAAAAATGTGCAAGGATACCATATCATTTCATGTAACTATACATATCACATATTAATGCATAATGGTAGTTAACTAGTACATAATCTTACTTTTCAATTAATTTTTTAATTAAAAATTCTTTAAGAAAAAAGAAGTTCATTATTTATAAAGAATCTTACTATTTGTAAGCATGGTCCAGAAACATTTAATGGCTTATTCTCTATTTTGCAAACGTTAAGACAACAGATCAATTTTGTACATGATGTTTTTTTTTCTTATTTTTGAGACAGGGCCTGGCTCTGTTGCTCAGGCTAGGGTGCAGTGGAAGCTCAGCTCACTGCAACCTCCACCTTCCAGACTCAAGCAATCCTCCCACCTCAGCCTCCCAAGTAGCTGGGACCACAGGAATATGCCACCATACTCAGCTAATTTTTTTATTTATTGTAGGCATGGGGTTTCACCATGTTGCTCAGTCTGGTCTTAAGCTCCCGAGCTTAGGCATTCTGCCAACCTTGGCCTCCCAAAGTGCTGGGATTACAGGCACAAGTCATTACACCTGGCCAATTGTGTATATGACTTTAAGTTTGGCTTTATACTATGAAAGAAACTTGTAGCTAATAACAGTGTATTCAAAAACATAAGATTAAAAATCAAACAAAAACTGTTTCTTCAAAAGCTCTTTTGACTGATATAGTTGATCTATAAACTTAAAGTTGCTAGGTCATTTATATATCTTGTTCTATGGTTTATTTTTCATTTTTAAAATTTCATTTATTTACTTATTTTTTGAGACAGGGTCTTGCTCTGTTGCCCAGGATGGGGTGCAATGGCACAATCATGGCTTGCTGCAGCCTCAACCTCCTGAGCTTAAGCATTCCCCCGCCTTGTCCTCCCAAAGTACTGCGATTACAAGCATGAGCCATTGTGCCTGGCCTTGTTTTACTATTATTTTTTTGAACAATAACAACATATTTTAACAAAGCAAAGGGAAAAAAGGAATAATTTAATTTACCTTTATGGATGAAGCAGCATAGAGCATATCTTCCAGGGTGAAATGGCAACACTGGTTCAAGTATTCTTGGCAAAATTCTTGAATCAGCTGCAGATTATACAGGCTATCAGCCAAAGACATAGTTTCTTTCAAACAAATATCTTCAAATAAGAAAAGAGCAAGGTGGTAGCTTTGGATTAATTTGATAACAAATATTTCATATTTCATATCCATCTTGTAATTAGTACAAATATACAATTCTGGTTAACAAACATACATTTATAAATATAGTAGTCATTCTACAGAAAGACTTAGAAACCAAGCACTATTTTTTTAAACTACCTCCCTTAGAATTATATATAAATGTTCTTTTTTTAAAAAGTCTTCATTACATATTAAATAATATTGTCTCTTTTTTTGAGACAGGATCTCACTCTGTTATCTAGGCTGGAGGGCAAAATAATATTGTCTTAAATATTGGTTACCATCTGTCTACAGTTTAGAAATATTAAACTGGAACACTTACCGTCTAATCTGACAACATCAGGACAGTAAAAATGAATAAGGGCAGCTAATGCACAGCCATCTGTCCCATCTTTCAACAAATTTTCTACCAATGGAATGCAAGGCAGTTGCTTAAGCAATGTTTGCTCTTTCCTATAACGAGCCTACAATATTAAAAAAAGACATGAAAATAAATAAGTACTAAGCAATGCATAGGGAAAACATCAGTACCATAAATTCTAATGTATCGGTGATAAAATAGATCATGAGAAGTAAGACCACTCACCAATACTCCTTTTTTCTAAATAACTCTAGGTATTACCAAAGTTAAATATACACAACAACAGCTATAGTTTTGAAGCTCAATACTTAACATACTGCTAATTTATGACATTTAGCTTAAATATTTCAATATAAAAGCATCACAAAACAGATTCTGAACACTTTGCATCCAAATAATCAGTTTTCCTCTTTTGAAGATAATAAAATTCATCTACTTAATGTCAGACTTAATTTAGACTGAAAGTTCTTATATGGGAAGAGCAAGAATACCATTCAAGTAGAAAGTTATCAAAATAAGGGGGAAGATAGAAGAATATACTCTTCATAAAAGAAATTTGA